GGCAAATATATCGCGCAAAATGTCATTATAAGATGAGTATGTTCGATTGATTTTGAAGTATATGTCTGCATAATATTTTACAGCTAAAATCAAATTGAAAAGCTTATGGTGATTTGAGGAAGGGATAAATACAAATATAAATTATGCACATCACAATATAATTGTCTAGATTTATTTTCATTGACTATTACAATCATTTATGTATATCTTGAACACATCCATGTAAGCTTTGTATCCGTACTTGTGAAGGGAAGATATACAAATGTAAAACAATTTATGCTAAATCGATAAAGAAAATATTAAGTAGAATTTTTCTATATGCAAGTAGTTTCAATATGTCATTTAACATGCACAATATCTCCATGATTCTCGTTCGGATACCATACCGCCATATTATAGGCAGTAAGAATCATTCGCACTGTGAGTGTACATTTTGTATAATAACAGAAAATACTAACATGAAAAAAATAAGCTCGGTGGAAGTATAATCACAGTTACTAGGATCAGCCCTGTTAACTTAAAACTTCTGTATCCTATTTATTCTAAATTGTACTTTACTATAAAGACATAGTAGAATAAGTTTTATACGTCCACTTTGCGGTATTTCATCTATGATATATATATATACGCTTTGATAATAGACTCTGTTATTTGTAATGTTTAATACGATCGATTTTGTACCTGAATAAAATATATATATATATTTTAAAATATATATATATTCCATAGAGAATAAAATATACGAAGCTCAACAGTTTTTAAATTGTTCTACAAGCAGTTAACTTCTATTATTATCTACGAATTATTTTATACGCTGCGATATCAAGCGTTATTGATCTTATCTCGTTTCTGTTTGTACCATCGAGACCTCTACCAAATTATTTGATTCAATTGCATTGGTAAATAGGACCCGCGCTACGGTAAGTTCGAGCAAATTACCCCATTGAAATAATTATACGTTACGCTAAATACGTTTGTTTGGACAACACAGTGGATTTATGCTTGCCTTTTAACTTATAATTTGGCTCGTAGCAGTCTGATATTCTCTTTTTATTTACACCAGGGGAGAATACTCGTTAACACCAGCAGAGAACTTCTGGAATTTTAACTCGCTTTATAAAATTGTCAAATATATTACCAACATACAAGCTCTTGTATCAAATATCAGAAAACGCGATAAATACGCATATCAAGCAAAAATGACCAGATATATTTGACCGATGTATGATCAGCATAACATATCCGTTGTTTTTGAATATATATTATGGCTCTCGAATCATTTATTTTACACAGATTTAATAAATTTCCATTCTATATAGGACATTCACTTTGTAAATTTCTTTTAGCACGTGGTAAATACTGATATATTTACGATCAGCATGATTATTTTGCTTTGTGAAAAAAGCAAATTTCAAAAATTCACATCCAAAATCTCAAGTAAAAAGTGAAACTCGGTAGAAGTCGTTTTGGCTTTAAGCATTCAACTTCTACAATTGCAATATTTTCGGAGTATATTGTCAGAACATTTTTGATTGTTTCTGTCGAAAGCTCTAACGAATAAGCAGATTCGAAAACAAATACGGCGACACACAGCTATAGCTGCGAAGCCGTACACAAACCCGCATATTTAAACGAAGTAGCTCGTGTATTCGTGAGGCATCACGCCTCTTCTAGGATAAAACGTGTGAGTGGTTGAGTATTCGTACAGGTTTGTGATCGAGCTCATATAAATGTCGGCGAACCTAAAGAGTCTTCTAGAAAAGTATGTGGGATTGTGATATGTTCTGAAAACGGAACCGAATTGCTTGTTGAACACGCGTTTTATCTCGTTCCTCAACTCGTCCCTCTCTTTGATCCACTCGTCCAGCACCGTCTGCACATCCGGTCCCTCGTAATCTTGGTGCTCCTCGATCAAGCCGGTCAGCATTTGCAACCAATTTGCATTCTCTTTGAACCTCGGATTGTTTAACGTCGATATTTCGTGCTACGGATAAATTATAACGTTTAGTTGCTGTTATGTATCATATATGATATAGAAAACTACAAAGTAAATGAAGCATGAGAGTCTTTTTAACTCTCATTGACTCCTCAGAAATCATTAAAGGCTTTAGGATAATGCTTCAACTATTTTTCTACAACACACTTTAAATCAAGAAATATTATGTTGCATTTGCAATATTACATTTTACACAACTACGATATAGTATACGTTGACTCTGAATTATGAATAAATGATAAAACAATTCTTTTTTTTGAATTCTGTTTTGTCTTTATTGAAAAATGGATCAAGAACGAGAACCAATTAATTATTATTAGAGAAAAAAGTGGTAAAAATATCTTAGAATAAAGTTGTCTTGATCTGAGCAATATTTAAAAGGTAAATTTTCATCTTTTTGTTGCACACATGCAGATACGAGCAATGTAAAGAAATCTTTATTTTAGCTACTTCTCGGTTTGCCAGAGATAAAAGTAGATCTTAATCTGTGCTGTTGAAATTAGATTTACTATTTTCAGCGTTTAAGTCAATATTGGTCTGCGGATCTTCATGCAAAATAAGAATTTTCTTAGTCGATTGCGCATCGTACATTAACCAGGTAGAAAATTTGTTTCTTTCTGTAATAATTTTAGTAAGCTGAACATAATATAATTATTTTTCTCATAAATGCATAAAATCCGCGGTCTAGTCATTCCACTTCTAAAACGTTTGATACAACATACTTTTCTAAATAATTTCTACAAATTTTCTGCAATCTATTATCAATGGAACTGTTACCCCTATTCGAAAATTCGCTGCTTACAGTTAATTCTTTGATGATAGCGCCAGTTCTCCAGCCATGTTCCAAGGTCACGTCCGCCAGATCGCTATAGGGATGATCCCCGAAATATAATACTTGCTGTCCTCGCCATCCGGTCATGTCCTGCAGTTGTTTAACCGTGCCCTAAGAATAGAAACGTTATTACTCAAATTCAACGGCAGCGAACAGAAAGAGATCGTACTTACTTCGAGGTATATGACACCTTTCTCGAGCTTCGTGACTCGATCCCACAATTGAGTTTTATTTACTTCGTCGTAGATTCGGAGCGGCCTACTCTCCTCGGTGAAGAATTTCGGTTTCCGCGCTTGTACTATTACTACGTCGAAGTAATCTTTCCAACTGTCGCCGACCAAAAATTTCATTCCTATATCACTGCGAACAAAATAATAACGTACTTCGTAACGAGCTATATTTTTTTTTAGAAAGTCATATCGATATTGATCATACTCCGAACGTTCATGCAAAATTTTCTATCGAAGGCGGATTTCGATTTCCATCGATCATACTTCGATGTAAATACAAATGTTTATGATCTTAATTGTAGTTTACAAAAATTAGTGGACGAATCAGTCGTCTAAAGAGTGAAAAAACGAGCAGCAAGCCTCGAGTAATCGTATCTTCCCAAATTGTCCATTTTTGTTTCCAAGCTGAACGTCAATTAAGAACAATTTACTAAACTTTGTAAGAGGAGATCGTATGACTAGAAACCTGCACGACTAAAAACATTTTAAAGCTTCAAGCTTCTACTTTCACAATTAATCGTTCATTTGTTTTTTTTTTAAATATATCTTCTAAATTTTCTACAATTTTTTTTCGCGACCGAATCTATCGCACATTTGCACATTGAAGATTCTCCTTTTGCAGCGAGTTTCTATAACAGATCCGACTTGCCCTAGAATATGATATATTAGGTCTACCGGAAAGTTCTGTCCGATAGTGTCACTTCAAGTTTCAATCCATATGCGCATGTTGATTCGAGGCATATATGACTACCTCTCTTTATCATTGCATTTACACACATGTACTCTCCCAAATAAACTGAAACAAAGATGTCTCGTGTCATTATTAAGCGAAACGCGATCGTGAAAACATGGCTACCGACGATAATGCCAGACCACATGCTGCTTCGGCGACTCGTCAGAAAATCGCAGAGCTAGGCTGGAAAATTCTGGCGCGTCCACCATACTCCCCAGACCTTGCCACCCTCCGATTATCGCTTGTTTCTCTCTTTGCAAAACTTTTTACAGGAAAAAAATTCAAAACCGAAGCTGATGTCAACCAAGCACTGGTCGAGTTCTTCGCCTCTAAAAATAAATCATTTTTTAAAAATGGCATTTACAAGTTGCCATCGCGCTGGCAAGAAGTCGTAAGCAACGATGGAAAGTATATTCTACAATAAATATTATTAAATGTATGAAAATTGTGTTATATTTCAAATTCAAAAACGGACAGACCTTTCCGGTAGACCTAATATAATTTGGAACTTTGAATCTTGTTCTTACTTATAAAATGGGAAATCGATTGCGTGCTAATTTATTATATTTTGTAATGTTCGATCTTCGGAAAAGTTCAAATCGCGATGCAGAGGTGGTTTAATTAATTGACTGCAAATTGCAACACTCACACAAAGTGGAAGGGGCTGTTGGTTACCAGGAACATCTTCTTGTTGGATTTTTTCAGTCGATCGAAGAATTCCTTTAAATCCTTATTCTGTTCCAAATAGTCCGCGACATTTTGTACAACTAGTCCGTGCATTATGGGGTGACAACTCTGTACAGAGTTCTGATAGGAGAAAAGAAAACAAGCTCGATGTTAAGATGAACATTTGTGATCGTTGAGGCAAAGTTTTTTCAAAATGGTTCAAAATTAATTACGCTCCCTTGATCTTTCCTTCGAATCTATTTGCATTAGTACACAATGGTGAATATCATATAAAAGAGACGAAACAATTGAAAGAAAGATATTTACTGATTTTTGAAACTCCGATTTACGATTTTAAGGAAACGTAGATTAGATCGCAATTTCTTTAACGGCAAAACCTGGTAGAATAATTTACAATTTACAATTTACAATTTACAATTCACAATTTACAATTTACAATTTACGATTCAAGGTATGTTTCATTGTATCTTTTATCACCATAAGTAAAATTGTTTCGTTGTATTTTAACTGTTTAAATCATTTTCAGCTTTACTCATTAGCTTTTCAAAAGATACCTTTGTAGAAACTTCTTGCAGACCTATATTAGTCTTCCTGTTCCTACCGTAATTTATCTTATTTAAGTGTCAAAAATTAAGTTATTGGATGACGATTGAAATATTTAAATACTCTAGCTCGAAATGACCTTGTAATCGCAGTTCGAGGGTTAATAAGATTCAGCAACTTCGTTTCATGCCTAATCTGGACAAATGAAATATAACATAAATGTGTCGAAGTTTTCTACTCGCCTTTACGTCCCTGAAAAGTATTTCAGGATGGTAGTCTATATGGTTCCGAAGGAAGTATTCCGTGACATTGCAAAGAAGCCCCATTTCCGGCACCGAGAATAAATCGGCGAGTTGTATCATTTTCGATCGGTGCAACGCCTCCTGCAAGAAAACTTCCATTACATCCGCGTACGCGAGACCCCCGAATGAAACGGACAGCTATACTCACTTTCTATGGCACAACGTTGCGAAATTTCCATCATGAAAAACACACGTATCGACGCATGCAAACAAACAAAAGACGTTTAAGTTGCTGTAAAGTTTGTCCGGTTTTCGATTTTTGAGCGGGAAAATCGGGATACGCGTACGTGCATGCAAGGTATCAACCTTGAAGAGTCAAAACAATCGTGAACTCGGTTACATAATGGAGAATTGTTGAATATTTAATTGTTGAACCTCGTAGGCAGTTACGACGTTCATTATCATTGTGTCAAATGCAATGACACGAGCGACTTGAAATTATTCCTTTCTAGTTCTTCACGGCGCGGTCGTTGTATTTTCTATTCGAACAATACCGAACGCAAGGTAAAGTTTGAATTCTAGGCTTTAACAAGGCATTGCTACGCGTTTGCGTAATATTTCTATAGATGTTGTGTCTCCCTCTCACGAGACGGACAGAACGTGTCAAAAACAATGTTCCCGACAAATATCTTCGATTAGAGCAAAAACTTCATTTTTTAAGCGTATTTGAATGTAAATATTCGATTTTTATAGAACTTATGGTTGCGGACAATGGACTGTTTGTTATCGCAAATAAGAATACCGATTCTGAAAATGTATCGTTTACAATACGTCATTTTTGCAAGTATACTAATATTTTAACGAAAAGTGTCATAATTGTGCAAACTTCTATTATTTTACATCTAGAAAATATTAGAAAATCATTACAACCACCCGTGGTCTTTTCTGAGTTTGAGATTACTATGTACAACGTAGTGGACTCACTCTTGTGGATTCACACAATTGGTTCACAATAAGGGTGCAAGTAGGTCTACAAGGTAGATATAATTATTATAAAATATTTCTCATAATTATTCGAACGATTTTGAACACTCAAAATACAGAAGTTACATTTGGGAAATACAATCATTTCGTATGGAAATCATCTGGATCATACTGAATGCTAGTAAATGAAATAATCTTTACATGTATTTGTATATATATTTATTTATACTC